TTAAAAACAGTACAAAAAATTAAATATAATATAAATGCAGCCAAGAGATCTTAAAAAACCACCAGTATCAACACAACCATGAAACGGGGCCCTTCACACACTCGGGGCCCCAGGCCTGGGCATAAAGCCATAAATACACCCTCAGAGGGTGATTAGACAAGGTCTGTGAGTTGTGGCACCAAATAAAAGCCTGACTGGTTGGCACTCAGCAGCCCCAACACAAGGTCTACTTTGCCCCACGGTTGCATCCCACGAACCCTTTGGGGTGTCCACCGGGGCTTCATTAATCACTGGTTAGCAGATCAACGCCTTGTACCCTCAGCAGAACCTGGCTGGGTGTGATAGGAACTGTAGTCCCAAACAGTTGAAGAAGGCTGCTTTAGCCCGATCTGTGTAGCTGCTGTCCCCAGCAGAACTCAGAGGGCTTCTTTACCCCCCACCCACCCTCGGGGTAAGCTCGCAGAGAACAGTTCTGTCTGAGCCCTGTGGGAAAAGTGTGCGCTCTTCTCTCCTGCGTTGAAAGAGCCCGTCCAGCCGAGAAAAGGGCAGGGCCAAGAGGATGGAGCCGAACCTGGGCGTGGGCTTCGCATCCCCTGTGCCCTTCAGGAGGACTGTCAGTCACTGTGCTTGGCTCCAGAGACGGCCACACGCCTGGCATTGCCCTGCTCTGCTCACCCCACCCACAGCCCACATTCCTCTGCAAGGGAACAGCCCGGAATCCGATCCTCCTTCAAAACGCAGAGGTGTGTCCAGATCACTCAATTCTCGCCTGCCCCGCACGAGTCCTGGGCCCGGACTTATTCCCCGATAGGCAGGCTACCAGAATGGCACTTACCGCCCACCTTCCCAGAAGAGATACAGATTGTGAGGTTAGGCTCCCATGGATGGGGTCTTCCGTGATTTCCCCTCCCCCCTTAGAGAGGAAAGGTTACACAGGTATGTCCTGTGTGGTTATTTCCAGATACATTGACCCCCAATAGGCAGAGGAAATCGTCAATCTGAGCTGATGCAGAGCTTCCAATGTTTTCTATGGGCTTTCAAAAATGTCTTCTATTTGCTCGCAGTGTCATCTTATAGCACATTAAAGAGCAAGACCATGCCCACCACTCTCTTCCTTGCATCCTCCTTCCAGCACGACCCCTGTGCCCCAAAGCTCAGTTATTTTCCTGAGGGAGAGGTGAGCCTGCTTCTCCAGACCTGCCTGAGGTCCTGCTTTCCTGGGAAGTTCTCTGTCATCAAGGACTTCCAGGGCCCTCCTCATTTTCAAAGTGGTTAACTTACAAAGGGAACTCACACAGTCCCGCTTCTGGGCAGAAACGGAACCAAGGTGAACTGAATGTACCCAAGAAGAGAAAAGGATAGGTGGGGTGAACCCAGCCCAGCAGCTGTGTGGATAGATGCGTGGACTTCAGGCCAGGCTTGGAAAGGGTGAGCAGATGCCTCCTCAGGAGAACCCAAAGGCATGGGAAGATAGGGCGGGCTTACAGCCACACAGCCACCAAGGTCTCTTTCTAAAGGCCGAAAACTTTGGAACCAAACATGCAATTAGAGGGGAGGGGAGGGAGGGGAGGGGGAGGCATAGTCCAGCTGTGCACAGGGGCAGAGGCCTAGGCACATGAAGGCAAGACGAGGCTGGAACAGATGTTGTTTGAGCTTTTCAGCCTCCACCCCAGCCCAACTGGTGGGACTTCTTGTCACTCCTGTGGCCTTGGAGGCTACTCCAGAGAATCCAGAGGAGAACCTGGGGAAGGCAGCCCAAAATATCAAGGGGGGGCAGTCGTTCCCTAATCCAGGTGCTGCTCTGGGATTGAGCGGCTTCCAGAGGTCTCACTCATCCCAGGGGGCCGTGAGCATCTGGGTGGGCTTTGTTGTCATAGGAGGGGGACAGATTAAAGAAACAAGTCCTGTTTTGGTCTCACTTCTGCCCGCCTGTTCCCACTTCTGGCCCACAGGTACATGCGGGGTGGGGTGAGATGTGCCGTGAGAGAGCTTTAGGCCTTGGATGTCATGACCGTATCGAGCACGGGACCTTGTCAGTTCCTGGTGACATCCTCACTTATTTTGCTTTGCTGCAGATGAACTTCCTGGCATGCAGGGCGGCCAACAGCAAAGTCCATGTGCCAGTCAGAGGCCGTGCCAGCTGCCAGTTCTGAGAGCTGCAGCCCAAACTCATTTGCAGGGTCCCAGCTTTGGGTAGGCTGCTGCGTGGAGTGTGAGCCACTGGGTTTGCCATAAAGGGCTCCTGATCACTGAGTCAAGGCTTGGCACACAGCTGGAAGCAACTGCCTCTCCCTGCAGATGTGTCAGCTGAGTTGGGGTGGACGATCATCCAACGCGGATTTTCCCACCCACCTGGGTGCAACTGCTCTCCTAAACTTGAACTCCATGGAAAACTGCCCAGAGTTGTGTTTTAAGATGGGTAGTCCCACAAACCTTTTAAATCGATCACTCGATCGGTCAATCAATCACAGGCAGAGGCTGAGCACCATCTTTCCATTCCAGCCAAGTCTCTCTCTCCCCTCACTTGGCTCCGGGTGGAGGATCTGCCCGGTCCTTATTCCCAGGCCTGCCGTTGCCTCCCCTTTCTCCAGGTCGCTGGGTGGGGCTGCTGAGCGCGAGGGGCTCCCAGGGAGTTGGTGGGGCACTTTGGCAAGCTCTCTGGGAGGCAATGGCTCCCGAGTGCTTCTGGGTAAGAGGTCTACAGCGAGGTGGTCTTGGTGGCCCTCCGAGCCCCTGGACTGGAAAGCCAGAGGAGGTCCCCACTGCCAGGACCCTCCCTGGGCTTGGGCAGCCTTGCCCCATGGGCCGAGGAGATAAGGCATGGCCTACGTCTTCGGGCACTCCAGAGACATGAGTGGGGATCCTGGGTCATACGACTGAACTGCAAGAAAGTCGTCTTCCTGATCTGGCACCCGTGTCAGAGATTAGGCATCTGATATATTTACCCGGTGCTGTTACACAATCCAGAAGGTGATGTCAAACCCAGCCCCAGTTAAATGCCCAGAGCCCCAGCGAAAGTGGGCAGACGTCACACCATGGAGCTGGCTGGTGCAGTCACCCTCTTCTTGATCGCCTACCTTTCATGCCTTGCCCTGCTATTTGCCAGGAGAAAGGCTTCTCCCGGGGGCAGGCTGCCTCCTGGCCCCACTCCTCTGCCTCTGATTGGGAACTTCCTGCAGATCAAGGCATCCAAGACCATGCAGTCCCTCCTCAAGGTAAGCCCACCCCTCTTGCCGCAGGAGAAGCCCCAGGGTCTGAGCAGCTGGTCAGAAACGTTTCCCAAGCAGCCTGGCGGTCTCCCTCGTCCGCTTCCACCTTCCCGGGGCTCTCCGCCAGCCATCGGCTCTCTTCAGCCTTCTCGACCAAGCGCCCTCCGTCTTCTCCAGATCGCATGGCTGCTGAGTGACCTGAGTCGCTGCAGCCCAGCCATTCCCAGCCTCCTCCTCCCACCGTCTACCTTCCTGTTACTTCGGTCAGGATCCTTCAGGAGATCGCGCTGAGTCTTCTTTCCTTCTCTTTGGGCTTCCATTTAAGCATTCATACCTACGTGAAGCCTGGAAAAAAAATCACTCTGGAAAGCTTTCCCGTTTGCCCCCATATCTCAGGTTTTGCCCTATTATCTTCTCATCAGACAGCTGGGGAGCCACACAAACCAGGGCACGGAGCACTTTTCCAGACGAAAGCCTTGGTGCTGGAGAAACACGAAAGTGCTAGTAAAACTGTTTGCTTCCTGTATGGGACGCTGTAAAAGCGATTCGGCTTGCAGAGGGAAGCATCTACAGCACTCCCCAAAAGTGTAACATGCAGTCTGGGTATTAAGGTTGTTTTGGGGGGTGATTCTATAGTCTACAGTAGCTGTCCCCCATTTTTAAATAGCGCAAGCATTTGGGATGTTGACGATGAAGCAAATGCACTGATTTCCCGAGCTATGCATCTGGAGGTGCCAAAGGCTGCCACCGTTGCCAAAAGATCCACCTGAGCCATTTTCAAGGATTTCTGAAGCTCTGTTTCCAAAACTTTAGAAGGGAGTTCTTTTCTGCCTTGGTGGGAGATCGGGGATTTGCAAGTTTTCTGTGGACCAAATGGGCAGGGTCTTGTCTACGTGGTATGTTACGCTACAAATAAATGAATGTCTATTTAATAAACGTTAATCAGTATTTCTGTTCCTCTCCCAACAACAGGGCCCTTAAGGCAGTTACTGTTTAATGAAGCAGGAGATCTGGCATTAAGACTGTAGGTCACAGCAATCTCAGTGGCTACACTGCAGCAATTCTGTGCAAATCGCAAGCCACTAACTGCACCGTGTCTATAAAACAGTCAGTGCAAGCCAGAAAGAAACGGCTCCTTCTCACGACTGTGCTTAAAACTCTGGGGGAAAGACGTTTCCACAGTCAAGAACCTTCGACTGTGTTCCAGGAGCTTGCAAGAACCCGCTGGCAAAGGTCCTGCTGGTTCTACGCACTCGGTTCAGGCAGAAAGTGCCTGGAGGCAAAGTTCAAAGGAGGCTTGGATGGGTCCCAACCCTTCCCTGTTTCCACAGGGAAGGGCACTGCGGGCCAGGCTTGCCTCTTGACAAGGCCGCCCCTCGGGTTTCTCACAAAGTTAGGGAAGGGGCTGCCTTCTTCTCAGTCCGCCCTACAGCCCCGGGACCCCATCGGTTCCCCATCCAAGCTCGACCTCAGGCTGACCTTGCTTAGCTTTTAATGGTTATAAGTCACCCAAAGTCATGGATTTGAGATGGGCGGCTATATAAGTCAAAATAATCAGTCAGCCAAAGCTAGGTGATGCAGCTACCGACTAAGGCAGATGTGCGATGCACTTTTCAAAGTACAGAACATGTGGAGAGAGGAATGCTGTGGTTGCCTGAGCTGGGCAGCTGAAAGACGCATCTCGTGGCCCACTTTGTCCCCGGGAAGAACATAAGCCATTCCCAGTTTCCTGCCCTCAGAGGCAGTTGGCTGGTGAATGTGGAGGCCCATATTCACCTCAGATGGAACAATGGCCTTTCCAAGGAGCCATCTAGCTACAGAGATCTGGATCTAAGAATCTCCATACTTTGGTTCCTCTTCCTGTGCAGTTGCGGGAGAAATATGGCCCCGTGTTCACGGTCTACTTTGGAAACCGCCCAGTTGTGGTCTTATGTGGCCACGATGCAGTGAAGGAGGCCCTGATTGACAAGGCCGAAGAATTTGCCGGGAGGAAAACCAATGCTACCCTGGAAAGGACCTTCCAAGGACACGGTGAGGGCTCCAGGCTGGTGGGGCAGGAGAAGGTCAGGTTGCCCACTCCTTCCCGGCCACAGGGCCCATTGCTCTCCTCTATACTCAGGGGTGGTTTTTGCCGATGGGGAGCGCTGGAAGCAGTTGCGCCGGTTCTCCCTGACCATCCTGAGGAATTTTGGAATGGGGAAAAAATCCATCGAGGAGCGGATTCAAGAGGAGACCCAGTTCCTGCTGGAGGAATTTCAGAAGACCCAAGGTGAGACTGGGGAGGGAAACGGGGGTGGAATTGTTTTAAAGGCCCTTGGGCCAACCAACCACTATAGGAACGCTGGGGTCAGATATCAAGATGTGCAGGAGAAGCTTGGGTGGAACAAGAGCGTTGCAGTATGTCTTCCTCTTTGCTGAGCCAAGGAGGAGTCAGGCAGCGTAGGGATCCCTTCCTCTCTAAGTAAATAAGTACAGTGGAAGAGAGGACCCCCCCCCCAAAAAATCAGGAGAAAATTATGTACCTTTTGGCCTAAGCAGTTCCTACAACAGTTGACCCTCCTTTCTCTCTTGCTCTCTCTGCACCAGAGAAGCCCTTCAGCCCCATCTTCTTCCTCAGCTGTGCTGTGTCCAATGTCATCTGTTCGATCGTCTTTGGCAATCGCTTTGACTACAGAGACAAGGAATTCCTGGATCTCATGAAGATGATGAACGACAGCTTTCGGGAAATGAGCACAGGCTGGTCTCAGGTAGTTCTACACAGCTCCTCGCCTTTGTTCAACAAAGTGGAAGGATCAGAGATTACTACTTCCTACGACAATTTTCCAAGCTGGTACCATCCAAACATGTTGGACAGCTGCCATGGCTTAGGAGGATGGGAACTGTTGTCCAAAACACAAGTGGCAACCATTTGGTTGGGAGGGAAACACCATTTAAGGAAAAATCCTTCCTTATTTAAGTTCCTCTCATATCAGCTATATTCTGCAAATATGTCTGCTGATTTATTCTTGAAATGGTGCATTCATTTACTGATTGACTGATCACCTTATCTGACTCACTTTGACTATATACTGACCTGCGGATGTGAGCTCTTTTTGTAACAGATCCTTTTCTTCCTTGTCTCCTGCAGATCTACGACATGTACGCCAACCTCCTGAAATACTTTCCGGGGCCACACACCAAGATCTATGACATTCTGGAAGACATGAGGCTGTTCATTGCCAAGAGGGTGATGAAGAACAAAGAGACCCTGGACCCCAACTCCCCTCGGGATTACATTGATTGCTTTCTCATCCAGATGGAGAAGGTAGGATGCGGGGCGTGAGCAGACGATTGTGTCCCCCAGCTACAAGGCTGTGAGTGAGACTTCGGGTACAGGGGGCTTTGCCACTGGGCAAAAGATGGGCCAGGGGGTACAAGCATGCCATCCCTTCCTGACCAAACACCATCACCAGAGGACAGGAAGATTGGGTGATTTTAGCTTCTCAGCCGGACCTTGTCAAAAGAACCTCCAGGTCTGGTCAAAGGGAAAGCAAGGGAACGTGTTCGATGTCCAGAGGCCCGCTGGTCCCTCACCTCAACACACCCAGGCCACAGCCTCTCCAGCCGCATCAGGGCTAAAGCAGCCTTTCCCCCCTTATTCCAAGGCCCGGTGAGGGCAGCCTCAAGATGCCAAGCGTTTGCTGCCTTTCCCGCAGAGGGCAGTCAGGGGACTGGCAGAGTTGGGAACAGAAGTGGTCCAGGCAGGAATGGGACTGGCAGTGGAGACAGCCGGTCCAATGGGAATCGCCTTTGCCAACCCACCGCTCGCTCGAAACACAGGGGCCATTCTATTTTGTGGAAACCAGAGCTTTGCTCAGTCTCCTTGCTCTCAGCTCCAACCAGTGGTCCCCTTTCCTGTTCTGCACCTCCCAAACTAGCTAGAAAGCACCGGTCACAGGCCACAGACATTCTCATGTGCTCTGGTTCCAATTTGTCTTCAGGAAAAAGACAACCCAGCCAGCGAATTCAACCTGAAGAACCTGGAGCTCACCACCCTAAATTTGTTTTTTGCTGGGACAGAGACTGTCAGCTCCACCCTGAGATATGGATTTCTGTTGCTGATGAAGTTCCCCGAAGTGCAAGGTATGGTGGGGTGTTCAGACCCACCCCAGTACATGTCCCTAGGCCAAGAAGCAGCCCCTCCAAGCTCAGGGAGAAGAGCTACATGTATTGCTAAGCCAGTAAGAAGTTGCTTTAAGCTTCAAGAAGGCCTGGGTTTCAGCATAAGATCTACCCATATGAGATCAGGCCCAGAAGCTTACCCTGCCAGGGGGTGAGGGTGGGGTAGGGGGAACGCTAGCCTGATGGCTCTTGAGAACAGCCCACCTCAGCATGTGGAGAACCACCCTCCCCAGTTCTTTAGTCCCTCAGCAGCTGCTCGGAGGTGGGAGCTCCATTCAGGTACATCAGAGATAGTGAAATCGAAGTAACTAAGTTTAAGACCACCTTTTGACAGCAAAGATGCATGAAGAAATTGATCGTGTGATTGGCCAGAACCGTATCCCAAACATTGAAGACCGCAACCACATGCCCTACATGGATGCGGTCATCCACGAAGTGCAGAGGTTCAGCGACCTCATCCCCATGAATGTGCCCCACGCGGTCACCCGTGACACCGAATTCAGAGGCTACATCATCCCTAAGGTGCGGGGGTTGTCCGGGGGGCTTAGCCTTTTTGTGGGAGTGGGAGTTTGGGCCAAGCAGACGTGGGAGGAGGGCAGCGCATCCCACCCCTGCAAGCTGGCTTGGCTGCACAAGCTGGGATCAGGCGGAGGGCTTCCAGACCTAGGAAGGGCTGGGCCTCAGATGCAGGAGCGGCGGGGTCCTGGCTGGAGGATGCCCCCTTGAGGGGGTAGAGCTCTCCTAACCTCCCAACGCCAATCCCTGCTCTCTCTCGCCCAGCCGACCTTACGGGGTTTGGGGTGTGCGATGGGGGGAGGGAGTACTGTGGGTTCCCGAAGGACGGGCAGGACAGAAGGTAAGAAAACCCAGTTACTAGCGCCAGTCAAAGCAGGCCCTGGCTCCGTCACTGCAGAACGCTTGGCTCTTGGCCGCCTTCCCCAGATCGTTTGGGCATCTGTGCTGCCACCCGGGCACAGCCTGCCCTGAATCTCTGCCACTCTGAACTTGGGCCTTCTCTTCCTCAGGGGACAGAAATCTACCCACTCCTCAGCACGGTCCTGCACGACAGCGCCAAGTTTAAGAGCCCCTATGGTTTCAACCCCGAGAATTTCCTGGATGAGAACGGGCGCCTGAAGAAGCACGACGCCTTCGTCCCCTTCTCCTCAGGTACAGCCCTGCTCCTCTCCGCCCGCCACACGTTCCCCGGCCGAGCTTCTCGGCTGCACTTTGTTTCCCTCCTTCTATCCCACGTCTCGCCTCCTGCTTTTCCGCGCTGAGGGGGGATTAGAGCCTGCCTCCGCATTCTCACACACACTGGGCACAATCTGGCGGGCCCTGGCGAGAGGCGGGAGGAGCCCCTCCATCTGCCTGCCCGCGAGTGGCTCTGCCGGCTTTCAGCCAGAAGACGGGCCGGCCTGGCCAGCGGGCCTGACTCTGCTCCTCTTTGCCCGCAGGGAAGCGCATCTGTCTGGGGGAAGCCCTGGCCCGGATGGAGCTCTTCCTCTTCTTTACCACCATCCTGCAGAGGTTCCGGCTGAAGCCCACCGTGGACCCCCAGGACATTGACCTGTCGCCCCAAGAGTTCGGCTTTGCCACCATCCCGCCCTTGTACGAGCTCTCGGTCGTCCCCCGCTGAAAGGATGGAGGTGGACCAGGAGAGCGAGCGTGCTCCCGGCCCGCCTTCTCGTCACTTTTGTACTTTTGCACAAGCTGGACTTTCGGGGGGAAGAGGTGTGCCATTTCTCAGAGGGGCTGAGATCTCTGAGGGGCTGGGCAAAGATTTTAAAATATAAAGCTTTGCAACGATGCGTATAACATTAACTTGCGAGTCTTGGTTTAATCTAAGCCAGCGGGTTTGTGTGGCTTGTTTCCTTGTTTGTTTATAAGCCTGCATGGCACCACAGTTGCCAGGGTAAATCTAGGTGGTGTACATGTTATTGCTTAAGGACAGCAAGGCAGAAAGAGTGAGAGGACAAAAGCCAGAGAAACCGGGCTCTGCCCAGGGTGCCGGGGAAAGGATAACCGGGCATACAAGCCCGGAGAAGCCCTCGGCCTCCAGGCTGTTCCTGGGTCGGGCAGCCCCAGCTGTGATGCCCAGAAGGTCCACTCAAAAGGTGCCCGGAGGCTGCTTCCTCCAGCCCATGCCATGAGCTTGGCGGGGCGCAGAATGGTTGGCCAGAAGGGGGGATTCCCTTGGTCTCGGCTTCCCGGCCCTTTCGTGGGCCAGGAGAGCAGGTGGCCCTGCCTTCCCCTGGACCCCCTTCAGCCGCCTTGCAGGGATGGAGAAGAATTGTTACCTGGCAGCTCCTTGGCCAACACGGGCAAGTCTCTGCCCGCAGAGAAACTCTGGGCCAAGACCACGACAGGCCTCCGAGGGCAAGCTCAGCAGGAGCAAGAAGATCCGGCCCGACCAGTCAAGCTTCAGTGGGGTCTGAAACGGTGGTGACTCACGTTGCTTGTTCCAGCCTCACAGCCCAGGGCCAGTTTTGAAAGCAGGGAAACCGGCTGACCCAGAAATGATGGAAACGCCAAAGTAACAACACCTTTAACGTCCCTTGACTCACAGACTGTGTTCACACAACATGCACCACTTAGTTACAGAGCTGCCCCACAGCGCATTCAACCATAAACTGACGTACATTCACTCAGTTTGCTAAGCCACAAAAGAAGCCTAATCAAGGTTAATGCTAACTACAACATTGAGCAAATGCAGCCGCTTAGTTTGATCTGAATTACTTGTGAGAACACAATGGAGGAGGAGGAGGAGGAGGGGAAGGGGAAGGGGAAGGGGGAGAATGGGAAAAGGAGAAGAAGGAGAAGGAGAGATACGGGTATGGGTATGGGTATGGGTATGGTAGAAGGAGAAGGAGAAGGAGAAGGAGAAGGAGAAGGAGAAGGAGAAGGAGAAGGAGAA